ACGTAAATGATGTTATTACCTGGATATCTATGAGTGTAGTAGTCCCATCCATTCAATGCTCTATATGCAGCACCTTCAATCTGGGAGAACAAATTAATAGAATCAATCATTCTATTTTGTAAATAATTATGAACTTGACAAATATTGTTACTGTTACGAATCGATATCCAAAGGCCACAGAGATATATGTATGTATGTACCTGGTATGCAGAAGTAGCTGCACCAAAAGTGAAATTCTTTGCAAATCCAGATCGGTTGAATGTAAGAACATCGTCGCAGTTGAAGGGTTCTTTAGCCTTGCATTCTGGATTGCAGACAGTTTGACTACTCGAACCACAAAGAGAAGGACAAGGATGGCTAAAGAGTAGAGAGCTTTTGGAATGCCATGGATGAGAGATCTATGGTTTCTTTGATGGGCTTATAGACCGATGTTGATTTGATGATGATTAAATGATGAACTTGGAGGGGTTTATATACAAGAGTGCATGGGACTTGCATGGAGATTAATGAAGTAAACTCCTTACGTATATTTGCATTCAATTTAATCATCATGAACTCCACCTCGCTGTCTTGTTTCTGATTAAAATAAACATTTCATCAAAACTATCCCTTATGATTTTTTTTTTTTTTATTTTTATAGAAACTTCATGTTAATTTACGGCATCATTTATTTCTCTTATATATGTAGAATACGTATATAGCTTTACACGATATGTACCTGTACATGTCTGCGTGAGAATGTTCTAAAAGTCGGCCGAGTTGCCGAGTACTCGGTCCTAAAACCGTCAGAAGGAGGTTGCCGTTCCGACTTTTTAAAAACCGAGTAAAGATATGGTCAACCGTTGACCGTACTTTGACATTCACATTATTATAAAAATCAGCAAGTAAATGTTAAAATCTAGTGGGCTAAAGTTTGATTTTTGTTCACAATTAGCCCCAATTCGCCCAAAGTGTGTAAAAGCACTTTTCATTCAACATAAAACCTTAAAAATGTAGTATATGACTTTTATATTGATGTATTATATATAAAAAAAGAATGTTATTTGGTAATAATGTAGTATATGATTTTCATGTTGATGTATTATATATAAAAAATTAAAAATGTTGGAAATATATAAAAATATACTTAAAATTAATCTCCGAGTACTCTCCGATTTATTTCCGACTTTTGAGAAAATCGCTAGAAGGAGACGGAGCGCCCTAGTACCGCCTAACGAGTTTTAGAACACAGATGAGAATATATGTTCCTTAATTATAATTTATATGCAATTTTTTAATATTCAATCAAAAGATTAAAATTTACGTATAGTACCATTCCTTTTTTTATTCATTTTTAATCTGTGAGAATGCATGAAATTGGTTGGAGCCTGGAGGTTTAAGTTCCGTGTGTGTGTGCCCTTCTCCTTTAGCTTATGTTCTAGCTATCCAGCAGCAACCTCCGTTCTATAAGCAAACCATGACTTGTCTCATTGATAAGTTTCAGAAATATAATTAAGTAATTACAAACCCCGTTGAATTTAAAGGAAAATATTGCTAAGGAACTTTTATATTGTTCTTCAATGCAGCAACTAACGTTCCATAAGCAAGCTTTCAATAAGAACTCCACGGCAGAGTGTAATTTGAAGGATACACATAGTTGAAGCAAAGGAGCCACTGGATCCATTCTGCCCTAAACTCTAGTATGTTAAAATCCATTAGGCCCATGAAATATAGACTAAAATACAACACAGAATGTGGACGCAAGGAGAACTTGAGGAAGAAAATTAAAAATAGTACTCCCATATTTGCCACGGCAACAAGTTGCAGGGAAGAGAAACAAAAAAGGGACTTACAAGAAAATAGTTGAATTAAATCAAGGTGTCAGAGATTCGCAGTTCACGGTTGAGATGTCATAAATTTAACAAAGGATTTCAACTCAATTACCAAATATATATGCATATAGTACAGAATGTCATGTTTCATTTCTCTCTTTATTTATTGCATATCTCTCTTTAGACAATATTTTTGTGTTTGCATTCTTTGTCCTTCGAGCCTTCATTCTATTGACAGATCAATCTATTAATCAATGAAATTTTCACAGTTTTTATTAATATGAAATGTCTATTTTCTATAAGATTGACAGATTATGAATATCAGCATGGCTTCAAAATTTCAGTAAAGAGGTTTACTGGAACTTTTAGTGTAAATCAAGAATCCATTGGTTAATGAGTTATTTATACATACAGTTGAACTCTTTATATGTAAATCATTTGGGTTAGAAAAAATATTACCACACAATTTTGATCAGGATAAAAATATTCCAAAATGTTAGCTCTGTATTTTATCTATGTATGAGTATATATACTAACTTATTTTTTTTTTAGTTTTCTTTATATTTATGGAAATATGAGGATCAGACCGAAACTTTCATCCTTAACTGAAGCATGTTCAAAGCTGTTTGTATGTATATTTCAGGCTTTCATCTGATGCTATTTTCCCCCGGTTCACTTTAGTATTAGGTGTGTGTGTGTCAATATGAAAATAACTTACTAGCTAAAGCAGAATAATTTACCAAATAAAACTTGGTCTTGTTTCCGTCGAATATTATTTTTAGAAGTTTAGTTCGATGCCATTAAGCTAAATACCCTTTGCTTTGTCGATTTATTCTTTCCGTTTCACCTGTGACATTAATATTATAGCATTTATGGTCCATGAAAAATTGATTATAACTATGATAGGAAGAAGTGATCATTTAATAAGTTTAGCTAACAATCTATGATTAGGTTACTGCAGTAATGAATTCTTGTTGGTACAATTTAGTAGAAGATTCAAACTTTGTACAATTCAGTTGTATTCAGAAACTGCGTGCGTTGTTTCTTGGAAGTTTTGTTTTATGATCAAATACTTACACTATTGTATATCCACGTAATATAATACACATTGATCTATATACTAGTCTGTTTTACACCATACTTTGGCTAGTAAGTAGGTTAGGTATATGTATCAGTTTGAAATTCAATGGAGTATCTTTTATATTTCGAAAACTTAAAGAAGAGGCTGCCATTGAATTTCAATGATGCTGGCTGATGATCCGTTTAAGATAAAGCAATGCATGTGCATTTAAGAGCGTCCAAAACATTAACTTCTAAAAAAAAAAGACAATTCATTTGACACAATGGGATAAATTAAAGGGTTAATTTGCTGAATAATAGTATTGGGGTTGGAAATTAAGAATATAGCCATATTAGTTACAAAATGTAGTAACTAACAAAGAGAAACATTTTTTTCCCTTTTTCTCCCTAGAGGTATACCCAACAATTTAATCCTAATCCCTAAATCCAAAATATTATAAACCCTAAACTATAAATCCTAACCCCTAACCCAAAAATAAACCCTAAATCTAACCCCTTAACCCGAAAATTCAAAATATAAACTCTAAACCTAAACCCTGAATCTGAAACCCAAACCTAAACCCCTATCCCAACAACGTTCTGTGTCAGCTTTTTTTACTTTATGTATTGTGGGAAACTAGCAAAGTAAATAATCATGCGCTATGTAACAGTTAAATGCCGAAAACAGTGAAATGCGTATATGAAATGTGACTATAGTATACTACCAGCTCTTTATACTATAAACCGAAAAACACCTTTATGTTTCTCTTTCCTCTTCCGATTCTGTTTCTTCAGATCTGCAATTCATTCGAAGTATATCTCAAATAACCTCCACACTGTTAACGACAAGCAACAATTAATTCCAGTTTATCTTTCCTTTCCCGATTCTGTTTTTCACTCCAACTTCCAATCGCAATCGAGAAGGAAATCTTAGTTTTTCGTCTCAATCTATTTGTCTCGTCGATGATTTAATTTTTAATAGCACTATTCCTTGAGCTTTCTTACTCTCCACGAGAAAATGACATAATTTTCAAAATTGCATATTTCTCTCTTATCCAAAGGACAAAGTTGGTATTAATTCATAAATTACAAGGTATATTCTAGCCATGAGTATGATTTGTTAGTTTCTTAATTATGAGTTTTTTAATTGTCATCTACTGCAATTTCCCTAAATTAAATTTTGTTGATGACAAGTTTTATATTACAAGAAATTTAAAAAGAAAAAACATACAACCACACACATGAAGACAATTTAGTTGACACAAGGGTTCAAAGTTCAAACGAACCACAAAGAGAATCGAATGCAACAGAAACGTTTTAGAAAAAGAAAAAAAAAAATCATCATATGTTAAAAAGATTGAATCTATACATTATCAAGAATACATATTATCAACATAGGGCCGTTTTTAAAAAAACTTTTAGATAAAAACAAACAAAAAAAATCCAAAATTGCCAGAACGGAAATGTATTGCAGTTTACATTATACATTCATATGATATACACTAAAGACTTGAGTGTTATGTTTCCTAAAATCGTGCAAGGAAAACCATGTTTCATATCATTCGTACGTCTTTAGCACTCGACTTATATGGTACATAAATTCATAATGGGTCCAACGAGTTAATGAAACTAACATCAAACGTCAACTATTCTGTCACATGCCTTGGTGCTTAGCCTATAGCTAGCTCTACGCATTGCATGCATGTTAATGTACCTTTTTTTGGTTAATGATGTTCATGTACATACAAAGAGAGAGGCTATATATATAAATGTATATAAAGATATGCCTGTCTTTAATAATTTTTCGGTGTTTTGCATGATTCGGATTTATGTTTTGGTTTATAAATTTAATTTTTAATGGATTTTTGGATTGTTATTAATATAAAATTAATTTTTTTCTTTGTTATTACCTCTTCGATCTAAGTTTTACGAATCAACTTTCTTGGTACAGTTTCTGTTTGACTCAAATTGTTTTAAACCAGTTGGGCCACCGTAATTAATACATTCACCACACCAGTTCTAATTATAAATAAGATCATAAACATTTACACTCTTCTTCTCCCAAAAGACCCTAAGCTACAACAAGTCTAAAACCCTTTATATACTGCAACCACCTAGCTGTCTCGTTATATGGCTACTCCGGAGGAGATGGAGCACGGTGGTGACAAAGCGGCGGCCATGTATGTGGCATGGGAGGATCTTACGGTGGTGATTCCAAACTTCGGTGAAGGGCCGACTAGAAGGTTACTGAATGGAGTTAATGGTTGTGGTGAGCCAAATAGGATCTTAGCCATTATGGGTCCTTCTGGTTCTGGGAAATCTACACTTCTTGATGCTTTAGCAGGTCACTCTCTCTCTCTCTATCTCGATCTACGCACATACATGTGAGATATTCTGCATATTTCCTTATAAGGGTTACTTTGTGTAGTGTTATACTCTTTGTATATATCTTACTATACAAACGTGAGGATGTGTAGTTTTTTTCTTATTTATATTTTTTGCAATTTAACGATAAGGTTTATCCGAGGAAATTCCTCATGTCTATCACTGTATATAGCATTTTTGTGAAAAATGTTTCACTTTGATTAAGTAATAATTGATTTTTAAGTTCACAAGCATTTAATTGTCGTTGGATCGATTACTGTTTATATTGGATTAAATCCTAATACACTGTTTCGTAGTTAAGTTTTGGAATAAAAAGTTAGTAGCAAGACTTGTTTCATCTCATATATTTTAATATTTGAGTGTGTCATACTCGACCTAAAATAATTGATTATTAGTCAACATGTTATTTTCGTAGACAATCAGAAGCAATGCTCATCTGTTTCTCTCCTTTTTATTTTATTTTTGAATTATAGGAAGATAATAAATCGGTTACTCAAAAAAAAATATATATAGGAAGATAATAATACATTATTAAGAACAAATATAAAGCTTTTCCAATTTGAAAGCAACAAGTGTATCCCATTTTGGTGAAATTAAAACATTAATTGAAGTTCCTCTAAACTGTTTTGTAGCTTTGACCAAACTCATTTGTTGTATTTATGAGATTATATAACTATCTATACATATATTTGTAAATAATGAAAAACAATGACATTTTCATCTAAAGTTTCATATACACGAGGATACATACAAAATGTATCTCTAACTTTATATTTATGGATTCCAGCTACCGATTTTTTTTTTTTTTCAGTTTAAACTATTGTATGAGTACTACTACTAATTAAAAGTGAAACATAGGGGTGATTGGTTGTTGCTCTAGTTTTTTTTTTTGTTGTAGAGTTTTTGCTTTATGTTTTATAGCTGTGGCTGTGAAATCGTTGCTTTAGGATACTGATTGCAGGATTTTAGTAAAAAAGGAAATAGATAAATATGGAAAATAATAATAAGGAAAAAAGTAAAGAAAAAAACATTATATTTGGAAAGAATGAAAGAGAGAGAAAAAAAATTCAGAGCCTTTAAAATTATGCTCTATAAATTTTGCTCTCCAAAACTAAAAAAGAAAGGAAAAATGAAAGAAATGAACGAAGACTGTAGATTTTTTTAAAAAAAAGTATAGAGCATGATTGGTGATCTATTTGGCTTTAGAATTTTTTTTGCTCTCTACAGCTTCTACAGCCACAACCAAACCAATCAGCCCAGCAAGTTTTATGTTCCGTATTAAATTCTACATGCTCGTACATTTAATATTGAATATATTGATAGCTACATTTCTCTAACACATCCTGCTACCTTTTTACAGAAATTCCGCGGTAACTTAACTTATATGATTTTAAATGTTAACCAACCACCCAACACCCACAACCTGACACAAAATTTTCGAATTGCACGATCCGGTTTTCGGTACGGTTTCATAAAAACAAAACCGAATTGGAATCTCTAGTAAATAGTAAAAACACTAAACCGCATAAACAGAGTTGAACCCGGTTTTGATGTTCAATCAAAAAAGTATCCATAACTTTAACTAGATTGATTTTGATTATATAAGTTACTTGGTGATGGTACAGGGAGATTAGCAGGGAATGTTGTAATGAGTGGCAAAGTTCTTGTCAATGGCAAGAAAAAAAGGCTCGACTTTGGTGGTTCTGTAAGCAATTCTATCTTTTTAACACAATCAAACTCTTAATTCATGTCCTAAACCCAAAAAACCTAAAATGTTTTTTCTTCTTCTTTTGAAACTGTTTGAGAAACTCAGGCTTATGTGACACAAGAAGATGTGTTGCTAGGGACTTTGACAGTGAGAGAATCCATAGCTTACTCAGCTCATCTCAGGCTCCCATCAAAGCTCACCAGAGAAGAGATCAACGACACTGTGGAAGCTACAATCACTGAGATGGGTCTGCAAGAATGTTCAGACAGGACTATAGGAAACTGGCATATGCGTGGAATAAGCGGAGGAGAGAAGAAACGGCTCAGTATTGCGCTAGAGGTCTTAACCAAACCGAGCCTCCTCTTCCTAGACGAGCCCACAAGTGGACTAGATAGCGCCTCGGCTTTCTTTGTGGTTCAGATTCTCAGAAACATCGCTAGCAATGGCAAAACAGTGGTCTCTTCCATCCACCAGCCTAGCGGTGAGGTTTTCGCTCTCTTTGATGACCTGCTACTGCTTTCTGGAGGAGAAACAGTTTACTTTGGAGATGCAAAATCTGCAACGAAGGTAGTACTAAACTAAGATGGAGCATTTGCAAAAGTGTGTATATATATACCAAACATGCTCATTTGTGCTCATTTGTATTGTGGTTGCTGCTTCGACTTTGTAGTTCTTTGGCGAAGCGGGTTTTCCTTGTCCTAGCAGACGGAATCCATCTGATCACTTCCTTCGCTGTGTCAACTCCGATTTCGATGACATCACAGCAACTTTGGTTGAATCTCGGAGAATCAACGTTTGTTTTCTTCTTTCACCTTTTTTGTTTTCATGAGCTTTATGTTTTACACTCTCAAGCTCTTTGACGTCTTAAGCTTTTTTGCCTGTGCAGGATTCTTCTCTTTCTCATTACCAACTACATGAAACCTCAAACAGATTAGATCCCCTGAATGATATACCAACAGCAGAGATTAGATCAACGCTCGTCAGAAAATTCAAATGTTCAGAATACGCAGCAGCTTCAAGAGCAAGAATTCAAGAAATATTATCAATCGTAAGTTATGACTTAAGCATTTCTCATAAGAACTACAATGTATCTCATTAAGCACATTTAAACCGCATGCAATGCAGCAGAAGGGACATGACACTGAAAGGAGAAAAGGGAGTCAAACAAGCTGGTGGAAACAGCTGAGAATACTTACGCAGAGATCTTTCGTCAACATGAGTAGAGACTTGGGGTACTACTGGATACGGATTGGCGTCTACGTAGTGCTTTCAATCTGCGTCGGGTCAGTCTTCTTCAACATCGGGAGAAGCCACACAAACGTCATGACAACTGCAGCTTGTGGAGGATTCATGGCAGGTTTCATGACATTTATGTCCATAGGAGGTTTTCAATCCTTCATTGAAGAAATGAAGGTAAAAGAGCTTAACACCAACCTTCTCCTTCTTTCCCCTATAAAGTTATCTTTAAGCCTTAGCATCTTTCTCCCTTAAAAACAGGTGTTTTCTCGGGAAAGGCTCAATGGATACTATGGTGTTGCAGTGTACACTCTGTCTAATTTCCTCTCGTCGTTACCTTTCATAATCCTCATGTGCCTCGCCACTTCCTCAATCACTACCTACATGGTGAAGTTCCAACCCTCGGCCTCTCATTTTTTCTACAACTGTCTCGACCTCATCACTGCGATTGCAACCGTGGAGAGCTGCATGATGATGATAGCTTCGTTGGTCCCTAACTTCTTGATGGGAGTCATGATAGGAGCTGGCTACATTGTAAGAACATGCTCTCTCTCTCTCTCTCTCTCTCTCCCTCACCTAAATGCTTTCTTATACATCTCTAAAGATTATTCTCTATTCTCCATGTCACAGGGGATTATGGTGTTGAGTGCGGGTTTCTTCCGACTGTTCCCTGACTTGCCTATGGTGTTCTGGAGATACCCAGTCTCCTACATAAACTACGGTGCATGGGCACTACAGGTAAGTTCTCAACTTTACGATGGAGATTATGTTGGCAAATAGATATCTAAAATTAGGGGTGTCAAAATGGGTCATTACCCAACCCATGGGTTGACCCTAATGGTCAAAAATTTTAATGGGTTTGGGTTGAAATTTTTTACCCATATAAATAAATGGGTTTTTGTGGGTTGACCCTAATAATTTATGGGTCTAACGGGTTTACCCATTAGGGTTACGGGTTACCCATGGGTTTCTCAAAATTTTTTTTTTTATAAATTTATAGTTATATTTTATGATTTTATTTTATATTTTACCTAATTATGAGTATTTTAATTTGTTTAATACACAAATATTACTATAAATATTAATACACAATTATTTTAATACACAAATATTACTATAAATTTATTATTTGGAAGTTTAAGTTGAATTTTTAATAATATATAGTATATTTTAAAAAAAAATATTACTCATTTATTGTAAAAACGAAAAAATATTACTTATTTTTAATATATATGGATACCCATAAAACCCATTTAACCCATGGGTACTAACATAATTGGGTTCGGGTTATAAATTACAACCCATAAAATAAATGGGTCGGGTCATAACCCAACCCTATAACCTTCAAACCCGTATGGGTTAGGGTCGGGTTGGATCGGGTTACCTATTTTGACACCCCTATCTAAAATGAGCACACATGGAAAAATATTGCAGGGAGCATACAAGAATGAGATGATCGGAGTTGAGTATGATTCTCCATTACCTTTTATACCAAAAATGAAAGGGGAGCTCATTCTTGAAACCGTTCTAGGCGTAAATCCAGCACAGTCCAAGTGGTTGGATCTAGTTGTGGTGATGATGATTCTCATCGTGTATAGGCTTCTCTTCTTCGCCATCCTCAAGTTTAAAGAAAAGGTTTTCCCATGGATTCACATGTTGTACACGAAGAGAACTCTGAGCCATATCCAGAAAAGGCCTTCTTTCAGGAGAATGGCACCGTTCCCTTCCAAGCGATACCATGTTCACCATGCTCTCTCTTCTCAGGAAGGACTTAACTCTCCATTGCATTAGAAGCATATCCAGCAGGCAGGATGCCATTTCCATGCGTGGAAGATAGATTTGTTACCCGCTAACCTTATGCTAGAGGTCCATGTATAATGTATTTCAATGTGCCAGATGTAACTTTCTTCAAACTTGTTAAACTATTTGTAGCCTGTTGTGACTAATGAGATCTGTTAAGCACGTGGATGGAAATCACAGGGATACATAACTACAGAAGAGAAATAACTCAAACCAGACATTTCCTTCGCTAACAACAGCTACAGATAAACGATGGAAAAACTCGTTACCTGACAATAGAAAAAGTAGTCCTTGTTTGATACCAGGCATATTTGGCTTCAAGATTCACATCTGAGCAATTCTAGACTCTTGAGCTGTGCAAGTCTAAATTACTTTGGTCACTCAACTCCATGAAGTCTCTTCTTGTGGCTTATAGCTGACAAGGAGCAGAATCAAACCTAACAAAAGTATTGTTTGTTGAAGAAAGATCGGAGAGACAGAGTGCAATCAACGAGAAGCTTCAAAGTTTAATAGAGTAATATTAAGCAAAAATTTCAAGTGTTAACCATTGAATATGAAGATAAACCCAAATATAAAATCTCGGAGAAGTTACATATGAAGGGAAAAGACAACAAACAATCATTAACATTGAACCAATATGGCTAATCCAGAAAGAACAGAGAAAATTCAGCCTAATTTCCAGCGTATCAGAGCAAACATGCACAAAACACCTTTGCTCATTTGCTACTTCTATGATCGTACCAACTCAGCTAAATCTGAACCAACATCTAGTTTTGGGAAAACTATGCTAAAAAATGTCAAGAATACGCCTGCCTTTTTCAGCCTAACCCTTCATCATATCATCAGAACCATTATTTTCAAGTTTACCATTGTATCCATGATACTGAACCTCCCACATAGGCCTCGGGGTTGCACGCCCACCGAAATCCTCAGGGAAGAATTCAAACTCAGGGCCGAAATTGAACTTCACGACACAATTTGACTGCTCAGGGAGAGTGTACATAGACGCCGCAGGATAGTAACGACCCCCAAAAAGCTCCTTGAATGCAACTCCCTGACATACACCGTTTTTGAAGAACGATATCTCACTGCCTGCATCATCAGAAGGAAGACATTCGTTAACAAAAAAAAAGTTGTTCATAAAGGTAAAGATCGAAACTTGTACAAAGAAGTAACATTTTGGCCATACCTGGTATGACTTTAGGAGGCTCCTCTTTAGTTTCAGGTGCACATACATATCTCTGACCTTTATACCACACATAATGCGGTGGCTTTGGAGCAAACGATTCACCATCAGGCAGATTTATGTAGAATCCAATCACATCACCTTCCTTATACCCTTCCTCTGCATACTTCTCTCTCAAAGCCTTGTGTATCTTACAACCATCAATGTCCCTAAACCCGAAACTATTCCCATCGTACCCTACCGGAGCCTGCAAATCTCCTTTATCAGTCGACCAACCTAGCCGCGTGTGACCGGTCTCACCCAAATTCACAACTTTGATCTCAAAGTACCAAGCTCCTTCCACAACTCCTCTCGTAGCTCTCACCATTCTGTAACCTTTGCTACTCCCTGCAGTGAGTCTGTCTTCGCTAATCTCAACTTTCTCAGCTTTGTACACTTTCGAGAGGCAGATTTCCAAGTCGGGCGTGTCGTCACCCTTATCGGGAAACCTCGGCACCGGAGTTATCAGCACTTTGTCTTCTACGGCAGCTGAATTCGGCGTATTGGTTTTGCTCTTCTTCTTCCCCTTTCGTGTGCTCTTCGTCACCCAGACGTTGTTGTTCTTCTTCTTCGATTTCGATTTCTTAGCCGCCGCATTGACAATCGGAGTCGCTGTCTCTTCCACGGCCATTGCTACTTGCTCCGGCTCGTCCTCTACCTTCACGGCGGCTGAAGTGAGAGAATTTAGCTGCTTCTGCTTCTTCGGCAATGGCTCGTCTTCCTCGTCGTCTCCTTCGTCCTCTTCCATTGCGCTACCGTTCTGGGTGGCGGAAGGCTCCGGTTTCGGAGATTTAGGGTTGTCGGAGGAAGAAGCAGTTGGACCTTCTTCGGAGAATGAGTCGGATTCGATCTTCAAGTCGGATCCGGGTCGATCAACATCCATCGCCGCATCTGATTTCTCCAATTCGGCATCGTTTTGTTGCTCGACTACAATGGATGGCTCATGCGGCACCGAATCGTCCGGTTCAGAGGGAAGAGCGGTTCCGGTAGGGTCGTGGGGAAGTGGAATTGAAACTTCTACTTCTTCGCCATTGAAAATTTGAGCTGCTTCTTCGGATTTGGAGCTTTGTTCTGCTTCGAATTTGGAATTTGTTTGAGGAGACTCCATTGGAACACGAACGAAGTTTGTTCTGTGAATGCAGAAGAGATTTTTGTGGGACGAGATAAGATTTGGCAACAAATAGAAAGAGAGAGACGACGACGAATAGAAGGAACTTTCTGGGGCTATGTGGGCTTCTTAAGGCCCAATAATAAATAACGGTTCGATAGTGTTTAGTCCATTTCAATTTCCATTAAGGCTTTAGTGGCTTATATATGATTACGATTCGTGAAAGTTGTATGGCTCGATCTTTCTGTTTCTAATGCTTTCTCAATTTTTCAATAGAAAGAACGATCGAATCAAATCTAGCTTAGCTATATTATAGCCACTATCTGGTTCCTAGACCTTCAAGCCTAACTCTGATACGTCTATCGTGCGCACATCTTTGATGTTATGTCATGTGTGAGGAAAACTGAAATTCATCATCAAGATTTTATTTTCCTTTTTGTAGTGGTCCAAACACTCGACATATATATAAGCATGCACTTTGTTGTGGTCCACTTTTCTTCCACCTTACTAGTATGAATTCACCGGTTAATCAATTACCAGTGATGGCTGAATTGAAGTTGGTTCTCTCCTAAACCACAAATTCCATCTATCATTCTCATAGCTGTCTGAAACAGATAATTAATGTCTTGAATCGGGGTTGGTGATGGCCTCCAAAATTATGGAAGTGTAATTAAGGACGTAATAAATCAACGTATTTAAATGATATGTGAATGTGATGCAAACACATACTTCTACTAGCTAACTCTTGTTTTGTACTTTGGTTGTAATCGTCATTCTAGAGTTCCAATACATATTTTAAAAAAAAAATTATTAAATTTCTGATCATCATATGATATTATTCAACTATTAATATTATACTAAGCCGTTATGGGCTTAGGATCATCATCGTTATTAACCTTCCCAAGAACCTGTTGAAGATGACGTGTGATATCCTCCGGTCGGTGAGGCTCGAGACGTGGTCGATCCGGCAAAACCCACCGTCCATCTCCGGTCTTGACCATCCCTTTGTTCTCGTCTTGTCTCCAACAAGGCGGCACATGGTACTCACTTCTCAAGAAATCACAGCTCTTGTTCACTAAAGCTATGTCTCTCTTTGTCACTAAACAAAACCTCTTTTCTTCTTCTTCTTCTCCATGATATCCATCCACCAAATGAAGCAAAGCTTCTAGGTTATGAGCACATCCCAAATCCTTAGTCTGTTTCAGAAACGGACTTTTCTTGTGGTCCAAGGCAAGCTCTACGCCAACGTGCGCGTAGCTCCATGGGAATGATGTTTTCTCCTCTACATACTTCTGAAACTGGAATTTTTCGTTTGCGAATATCCCTGGAACGGAAGGTACCTTGTCGTGCACGTTTACCACCCTCAACACTTTGATCTCTAATTCTTCGCACCGTTCCTTGAACCTCAAGTTACCTACACGAGGTCCTGAGAAGGAGAACACACTAATTGGGACTTTATTGTTGTTCTTCTCTGGTATGTGATTCAAGTTTAGCTCCGCGATATCATAAGCACTGACCAAAGCAAGAGCTGCGCCAAGGCTGTGACCTGTCACGGTGATGCTTAGCTCGTGACCTTCTTCTCCCGAACCGTAGTACTCGAGAAGCCGTTTGACTTCTGATAAAACCTGTTCTCGAGCGGAAAAGGAAGAGAATTTGCAAGAATCTTCTTTCTTGGTGTATAAGTCATGAAACCCTAATTCAATCTTGATTAAAGGGTCGGCACCGAAGTTAGCTGAACAGAGAATGTCTTTTAAGTCATAGATCCATTCGAGATAAGTGACTGTGCCTCTCCAAGCGATGACTATATCACGTCTCCCGAGCCGAGCCACCTCATCTTCGTCCGTAACTACAGCAACGTAACCCATCCAGTTCGCGTGTTGGCTCCAAATCTTGTTGAGTTTTGATTTCTGGAAGAAGTTTGGGAGGTTGATGTTGGATGTTGCGTAGAGGTAACGTGTTATGGTGTAGCCTTTGTGGAGATTCAGGTCAAGGTTTGAGAAAAAATCGGAAGGATGGTATTTGCAAGAGCCGCAGTATTTAGAGTGAGGATCAAAGTCGAATGAGTCGTAGCAAGCTTGAGCGAATTCTCCATAACGTATAATCTCTCTTCGAAGATGGTTGTTCATTGGATCTAGTAGTCCTTTCCAGTTATTACAACCTTGTATTTCTCTCCAAATCTCTCGAAGTTCCACTTCTTCTTCTTCAAGTCTTGCTTCTTGTGCTTCTTCTTGTTTGTTTTCTGAAACAAGGTTTTGTTTCTGTGGCAGCTTCTGTTGAGATATGTTTGTGCATGAAGATGAGCAAATAACGGAACAAGTATTGATCTTTCTTGACAATATTAGAGTCTTGGGTTTGATACTGAAGATGTTGTGAGGAGAAGAAGTGAAGAATTTTGGGTTCTTGAGAGTAATCTGTGATGATGGAGAAGCCATTTAATTAGAGTTATAAATATTCTGTTTTGTTGATTTGTGTAGAGACTAGAGAGCAAGTGAATATATATATATATATATATATATATATATATATATATATGAGATTTGATTTAATTTGCTCTTATTTTTGTGTGTGGTTATGATTTGGTTGGGTAACAAATTAAAGTTGATGATGAATTTGGTATGAGTGTCTCTTCTTATTGTTGTGTATTTAATGGGGTCGGCGAAGAAGAGGGAGACGTGCAATTTAGTGGAGGTCTCTTTCTTGTCCTTTAGATAATGGAGTTCCAAATTCATTCTTTGTACTATAGGACCACACATGATTTAACACGTGTACTTATGTGCATATGTATTAAATATGTGAATAGATCCACTGCAAGAACACAAAGAAGTGTTCCACTTTGTATCCAGTCTTGAGTTTCCTCTATTCGAACATTGAAGTTATATGAATATAGAAATTTTAAGCTTTAGTTGGCTAGTGATACATAATGAGGACTTGCAAATGTAATGACTTTGAAAGTTAAAAAAACATACAAACTTTTATTAATGGATCATGAATGTGGGTTCTATTAGTCAAACCCAATGCAAATCCATAATGACCTTTTTTTTTTATAACATGTAAATTAAATTATCATTGAAGTTGTGCAGATTCATATGGTCACAATGTAAAGCTTGAGAGATTATAACCATATATAGTGACATGTTATCCTAGGAATATTCTGCAAAATAATAATATCTCGTGACCATAGAGTTACCATATGCTACAAAATAAATATATTTGGTGGAAACAAAACAAAATAAAGAAAATTTAAATAAAGTTAAGGAAAAGGTTGACTTGTTCTTCCCCGCTCTGCGCTCACTCTCTCAAAATCCCTCTCAAGCATAGAGGTTCTTCATTCGATTCTTCTCTTACACCAAATCGTCCTTTCACATTCCTAAGGTTTGTCTCGATCTCTAATCTCCCTCAAGAACCTGGTAGCAAGATTAGTCAGAGATCTAATCGTTAAAGTTTAAGATTATGAATCGAAAATGATTGTGATGTTTAGGTAAACTTAAAACGTTGCTCTCGATTTTGTTCAAGATGGCACAGTAACCCTAATTTCTTAACATTTCTGTGATCTTATATTGAAACTTCAGGACACTGATTGTGTAGATCATGGAACGGTTAACATCTCCTCCTCGTCTGATGATAGTCTCAGATCTTGATGATACAATGGTACAACACCATCAACAACTTTCTCTTTACTCTAAGAACAACGCTTTGATTTTATTGAGCTGTGTTTTTTATAGGTTGATCGTCATAATGATCCTGAGAATCTGTCTCTACTGAGATTCAATTCATTGTGGGAAGACGCTTATCGCCATGGCTCTCTTCTTGTTTTCTCAACTGGAAGAACACTAGCCATGTACAAGAAACTGAGGAAAGAGAGACCATTGTTGACTCCTGATGTTATCATTACCTCTGTAGGCACTGAGATAGCTTATGGTAACTCCATGGTTACTGATGATCATTGGGTTGAGATCATGAACAATAAATGGAACAGAGGAATCGTCCAAGAAGAAACCAGCAACTTCCCTGAGTTAACTCTTCAGGTAACTTTCTTCTTTGACACAACAAAGTCTCTCACTGTCTCACACTATATTGATCATTGACATTGAGAATGCAGAGAGAAGCTGATCAGAGACCAAACAAAGTTAGCTTTTGGATTGATAAGAGTAAAGTTGAGGCAGTGAGTAAAGAGCTGCATCAACGGTTGGAGAAACGTGGGGTAAGATTTGGTTTGTTACTTTGTGAAATTTTGTTATAAGATTTGTGGTTTTTATTTTTCATTTTTGTTTTTCAGTTGGATGTGAAATTTATATTCAGTGGAGGAAAGGCTTTTGATGTTATACCAAAAGGTGGAGGAAAGGGACAAGCTCTTGCTTATCTGCTAAAGAAGCTCAAGAATGAAGGAAAGCTTCCTGTGAACACTCTTGTTTGTGGTGACTCTGGAAACGACACTGAACTATTCACCATTCCTGATGTGTATGGTGTTATGGTAAGCAATGCTCTAGAAGAGTTGTTGGAATGGTATGAGAAGAATGCGAAAGACAATCCGAAGATAGTCCATGCGAGTGAGAGGTGTGCAGGTGGGATTATAGAAGCCATTGGTCGTTTCAAGCTCGGTCCAAACCTTTCTCCGAGAGATGTTTCTGACTTCTTGGAGTGTAAAGAGGATAATGTGAATCCTGGTCATGAGGTTGTCAAGTTTTTCTTGTTCTATGAGAGATGGAGAAGAGGTGAAGTTGAGAATTGTGAGGCATACACAGCAAGCCTCAAAGCTTCCTGTGTGAGTAATGACTTCACTGTTTCTCTATTTATGTGAAAATCTTACTGTATATAAGAGACTAATGACTCTTTCTTGTCCTTTGTCATAACCATTTCAGCACCCTGCTGGTGTCTTTGTTCATCCATCTGGTGCTGAGAAGTCTCTCAGAGACACCATTGATGAGATTGGAAAGTACCATGGAGACAAAAGAGATAAGAAGTTTCGGGTTTGGACGGATCAGGTCTTTGCAACAGACACTACTCCTGGGACTTGGATAGTGAAGCTTAATAAATGGGAACAAACTGGTAATTTAAATCCCAAAGAATTGTCACTCACACAAACCCCATATAAGTTAACTAATTCTCTTGTGGATATCGCAGGGAGTGAAAAGAAATGTTGCACAACAACTGTCAAATTCACCTCAAAGGTAAGAGATGATTAAAGAGTAGAGATCATTGGTAATGAGTCATATTAGAGTAGATTCAGTTTCTTGAGGATTGAAAATGTTACTGGAATCTGCAGGAAAATGAAGGATTTGTGTGGGAACATGTGCAGCAAACATGGTCGGAGGAATCAGAAGTGAAGGATGATAGCAACTGGATCATCTAAATCATCATACATTTAGAAGAGAACACAAAACAAACTATATATAATTCAAGAGGCTAAAGCGACTTAATACTATTTGTTATACACAAGTATCATCAACATACATGGTTTATTTTCGCTTCTCTCCCAAGACAACAACAACGCTATGTTAATGACACAGAGGAGATTAACGATATCAAACCTCATGAGTTCCATTTATCCGGCGCTGTGTTGTAAGCTGCGTTGTTAACTTTTGGGATTTGAAGATAGTGCCTTAAGAAACATACAACTCAGCTTGGCCGTCGATAAAGAGACTCATGAACTCTTCTCCATCAACAGTTTCTTTCTCGATCAGTAGCTGTGCAAGCTTGTGCAAAATATCAATGTGAGTTGTGACGATGTCCGTTGCTCTCTTGTAAGCCTTCTCCACAAGCTCTCGCACCTCTGAATCTACAATATCTGCAGTTGCCATTGAGTAATCTTTCTGTGACGACATCTGCACACACACACATAAAAAAACCATTTCATGAATACAATACATAACACAACACTAACGATGAAACTGAGAAACCATATAGCCATAACGTACTTGTTGACCCATGAAGGGATTTCCACCAGGGCCACCAACAGCAACTTGTCCAATCTTTTTGCTGAAACCAAACCTCTCAATCATTTGACGTGCCACACGAGACACCTGCATGAAATCATTCGATGCTCCTGTCGTCACATTCTCGTCTCCGAAGATCACCTCCTCTGCAACCCTGTGATAAGCCAACACAACAGAGATAGAGATGGTTTAACACAATCATACTCTCTAAAACCTGGCTTTTCTGTTGCATTTTACTACTAACTAACCTTCCGCCAAGTGCAACAGCCATTTGATTCTCGAGGTAGCTTCTACTGTACAATCCAGACTCGAGTCTTTCTTCGCTCGGGGCGAAAAAAGTGAGACCACCAGCTTGGCCACGAGGAATGATGGAAATCTTGGCGACAGGATCATATTCCGGCATAAGAGCACCCACAAGAGCATGTCCAGCCTCTGCAAATTCAAAAGTTCATAACTCAGAATCCAAAAGTCGCCGAAAACCAGAATCACAGATGCTCCCAACATATAAGTTAGTTACAGAAAGAATGCTAACTAACCATGGTAAGCAACTAGTCTCTTCTTCTCATCAGAGACAACTGCATTCTTCTTCTCAGGTCCAGCAATGATCCTCTCAAGAGCATCAGAGATCTCATCCTTGCTTATCTCCTTAAGCTCACGCCTAGCCGCAAGAATCGCCGCTTCATTCATCAAATTCTGCAAGTCAGCACCAGTGAAACCAGGTGTCCTCCTCGCAACCTTGTCAAAGTCCACATCTTTACCAATCGCCTTCCCCCTAGAATGAACCTACACAATACAACACAACAAAACCAAAGTTAAGAATCATTCACATAAACTCCAGAGACAAACAACCACTAAGAGCAAACCAAACCTGAAGAATCTTGACTCTGCCAGCAACATCAGGCCTATCCACAGTAACCTGCCTATCAAACCTTCCAGGCCTCAACAGCGCCGAATCAAGAACGTCAGGTCTATTCGTAGCTGCCAAAACAATCACACCAGAGTTACCAGAGAACCCATCCATCTCCGTCAACAGCTGATTAATCGTCTGCTCCCTCTCATCATTCCCTCCTCCCATCCCAGCTCCTCTCTGCCTCCCAACAGCATCAATCTCATCGATGAACACAATGCAAGGAGCTTTCGACTTGGCCTTCTCGAACAAATCCCTAACTCTAGACGCACCCACACCAACAAAAAGCTCCACAAACTCCGACGCAGCACAAGAAAAAAACGGCACTCCTGCTTCTCCAGCTACCGCTCTGGCCAAGAGAGTCTTACCAGTACCAGGAGGTCCAACCAACAAACACCCTTTAGGAATCTTAGCACCCAAAGCTGTGTACTTATCCGGATTCTTCAAGAAATCAACAACTTCTTGCAATTCAAGCTTAGCTTGATCGGCGCCGGCAACATCCGCAAATGACACACCAGTCTCCGGCACTTCCTGGAACTTCGATTTCGAACGTCCGAAATCCATCGGACCTCCTAACCCTCCAGGTCCACCGGCACCGCCGCCACCAGCTCCCCTGAATAGTAAAAAGAGTCCACCAAATGCCAAAATCGGGAAAATCAAGTTTCCGATGATAGTGAAGATGTCGTTACCGGACGATTCTCCTTCGGAAACCGATATATCGACTCCGTTCATAGCCAAGATGTCGATGAGGTCAGGATCGTTAGGGACGACGACGGAGGCGCGGCGGTTATCGACGGCGGTGAGCTGGAGAACGGAACCGTCTTTGCTGAATCTAACTCTCTCCACTTTCCCTTTCTTCACCGCGTTTAGAAACTCGCTGTACCTCCATTGCGTTCCGTCCGGAAGGTCTGATGATGATTGAGCTGCTTGTGGATTAGGCGCCGTAATCGACTGGATCTGACTGAACGGCGAGGAAGACGACGGCTTTACTGCTTGGGCTTCAACGACGACAGTCTGTGGAACCGTAACCGGTTCGTCAACAGCTAAAGCTCGCGACGACGACGACGTAATCGAAGAGAAGAGAATAGCTGCTAACGCTGCTTTTGAAGACAGAGACTTTATGGGTTTTCCATTGATTTCGTCGCTTCGAAGAGACGATCGAGTGACGAAGGAGAAGGGAAAGGAAGGCTTTTTGGTGGTTTTAGGGGTTGGAGATGAGATTATGATTGGGGATCCTAAGAAATTTGAACACCGTAACGCCGTCATTGCAGCTGCTTCTTCTTCTTCTTCGTGGAGACTTTGATTCGAATTGAATCAGAGAGAGGAAGAGAAGATATTTGGGGATTGAAAGAGTGTTTCTTTTTTTCTCGTCTCTGATTCAGAATTTGTGATTAAAGAGAAGCCATATGGAAGAGAAGCTATATCCTATGAGTGCTTGATTCTGGTTTGTCTACGTGTGCAGTCTTTTATCCACAAGTGAAATGATCGCAAAATGCCAACCTTAAAAAAAAAGAAAAAGGACAATGCAAAATTGAAGTTTTTGTTGTATGAGAGATGGAGAAGAGGTAACGTAGAGAACTGTGAGGCATACATAGCAAGCCTAAAAGCTTCATGTGTGAGTATAATCTTAATTATGTGCAAATTTTACTGTATTTAAATATTTAATGACTTTTTGTCAACCATAGTTATTAGTCAACCTTTTTTAGCACTTGGCTTGTGTCTTTGTGTCTTAGAGACACCATTGATGAGCTAGTGAGTAGTGAAGTACCATGGAGACAAACATGGGAAGAAGTTTCGGGTCAGTAGTATAGAAATGTACAAGTTCTTAGAGGACTGAAAGTTTTTTTAAAAAAGTTATCAACATTTGCAAAAGAGAAACTATTAGTACATTTATAATTTATTTTCTGTAATCAACCCAACTAATAGCATACGTAAACTATAAGTCTATAATTTACCTTTTTCCAGCAAACATTGTGTCAAATTCCATTTGAATGAATTGTCATCAACTATATCATAGCTCTACAAATTAAATAACAATTGTGAGTGGTACGAGTCTAGGAAATGTGAACTACTACTTAAATATATGTAGAGCTACTATTTTTTGCTAAAATTAAAGGTAAACGATAAAGGTAAACAAATTTGAGTCTTTGCTATATGATTGTAACCACTTCAATTACAAATCCCACTGAGAAAATAGTTTAAATCAAATGATTCCATCGGTCCGAAATGATGAAAAAATGTTCACAATATCATAGGCAACACACACCATATTTAAAATTTAAAGAAAAATCGCCACAACACAAGGAAATAAATAAAGAAACATGTGACTCAAAAACAAACAGATCCAAGTCTAGATCTAATTTGAATTTTTTTGAAAGATGAAGCTCAGAATCTGATGAACCCTTTGTCTCTCAAACTCTCTACAGTCTCTTTAATGCTAACCTCCAATGGCACAAACTCAACCCCAAGAGACTCTGCTTTCTCTTTGGACACTTTATACGTCGGAATATATATCTTCTCATCTGCACACCTGCAAAAGAAATTCAATAGATTCATTTCAAAATGATCTTATCTTTTCATTTCTAAAAGTTTCTAAAAAGATAAAACAGAGAGACTTACTTCTCAGGGAGTTGAAAATCAGGGTAAAGCTCATTCAAAATGTTAACAACCTCAGAGTAATGAGCAACTCTCTCCACTAAACAGTATCTTCCATTAGCATCTGGATTCTCAAACGCTTGAATGTGAGCGTTTGCTACATCTTTCACATTAACCCACCCGAATGTCGCATTCGGAAACGTCTGTGCTCCTGAAAACGTAAACCAATAATGTTCAAAGCTTAGAAACTGTATCAATCAAACAAATGCTCTGTTTTTTTTTTCTTTACCTTTGATCAAGCTTAGTACTGCAGCAGCACTAGTGTTAAGCGTTGGCTGCAAGAGAGGACCAATCACCATTGCTGGATTTATCGAAACCAACTGTAAATCGTTCTCTTTCGCAAACTTCCACGCTGCGTTTTCAGCTAATGTCTTTGAGAGTACATACCATAGCTTTTGGAACAAACAGAAAAAAACAGAGGATTTCAGCAAAAGAAAACAGAGTAGTAACTTCAAGATCACGTAAACATTATATATTTTGATATATACCTTGGAAGCTCTGCAATATTCAGGATCGGCGAACCAAGATTCATCAACTATGGTTTCGGGTGTTCGAGGCACTCCATTGAAAGCAACAGCTGCTATAGATGAGGTTAAGACAACTCTCTTAACAGAGGAAGTCTTCAAGCAAGAGCTTAGAACATTGATTGTTCCTTTCACCGCTGGATCTAGTAACTCAGCCTGCAAAAGAACATAAATCAATCGTAAATTTGGAAGATCATTTGATAACTCGAGAATCCAAACAAGAAATGAGAAAGAGAGAGACTTGAGGGTCCTTGACGTCGTGATAGAATGGAGATGCGGTGTGGAAAACTCCTTCGCAGCCATCGATTGCTGAATCGAAAGAGCCTTCTTCTAACAAGTTTGCTTTGAACAGTTTAAGCCTTTCCTCTGCTCCTTCCAATGCAAGCAAATGCTCTGTTTTCCTCGGATCATCTGTCCCATTGAATCATATACACATATAGAGAATACATCTATTAACCTTGAATCATCTGAAAATTATCACATATAAAGATCTCTAATTTTTCGAAAAAACAAATCTTGACAAGAGTTTTCGACGTAAACATAACAGAAATTATTAGATCCGTTGTGTAGATTCGATATATAGATTGAATAGAGAAGAGGAAAGATAGAGAGAGACGGACTTGGATCACGAACAGAGGCTTTAACGGTGTAGCCACGGAGAAGAAGAAGCTTGACGATCCATGAAGCAATGTAACCTGAAGCTCCTGTCACACACACCGTCTTCTCTTCTTCGCTGCTCATTCTTTCTTCTTTCAGATCTCCTCAAATTTACTTCTTTCCTTTTGTTGTGTTTGAATTTTTCAAAACTGAGAGATATTCTTATCTTCTGCCTTTTTAATTTTTTTTCCTCCCCTGTTTTGTTTTTTGGGTTTTCAAGCGCGCCATTTTTGGGAGAGTTCGTTAGAGTATTTTTCTCTGCCAAATGTGTGACTCCTCTTAAATCTCGTCCGTACGCTTATTCACAAACTAAATTCGATGTTTTTCCAAAAAAAAAAAAAAAAAAAAAAATCCATACTTTATTGAGATTATAAAACCAAGATTTCATGAACTTAATTTGTAAATTTATTAACCAGTAAAAAAAAAAGGTTACATTTTCATGACAGTGGAGTTTCTCTGTCTCGCTGTTGCTACTGAACCGTTCTTAACTTCTCTTAAAGGCGGTCTTGAGCAAGACGGTTTTGTTGTTGTTCTTCCTTCTCTGTGCTTAGACCAATCTCCATTGTTGCTATGTCTGTTTTCTTTCAACCTACAAATCAATACTCTCTTCTCCGACTCTGATGGCAATCTGTCTTTCTTCTCTGCTTCCACCACCAACTTATGTTCCTTCCTCAATCTCTCCATCTCTCCTTGTAATCCACAAACCTCTGCTTGCAGGTTTTTCAACTTTGCCTCTGATGATATCGCCTTTCTTCGCCATCCTTCAACCTAAAACAGATTCATGAAAAAAATGCTTAGTCACCAACATTTTCAGGTAACTTTATCAAGTGCTGCGTGATTCTATCTTACTGAGGAATGTAGATTTTGTATCTGAGAATCCGAATCAAGAGCGCGGTTTTGCCAGAAATCACGACAAGACTGAAGCTCCTCCATCTCCTTCCTCACTTGACACAACATTTTTTGCATTTGTGACCATTGCTCTGCCTCTGCTCTTACTTCATCCGCAATCTTCCTCATTACTGCTTTACAGTGTCTAGAACAGTCTTTCTTTTCCTCGTTCGCTTTAACTGTCTGCAAAAGGTAAAAAACTCATCTTGATAAACTTCATTTGAGCTCAATATTGTATAGAGAAAGCACAAAATTACCTTGCTATACATGTCTTGTGCAGATGCATCTTGAAGATCAATGCATTTGGAGACAGAGCTTGATCCATATTCTTTCTCCATTCTTTCCAACAAAACCCCTTTCGACAAGGCCTCCATTTTACTACTCAATGTATCTATCTGCATCACAAAAACATCAAAATCAACATCATGCAAGATCAAGATCATGCAATTGTACATTGTTTGTCACTCACATTGTCATTGTTGTTCTTGGCTAGAGGGTTAGGATTGACCAAGAAGCTAGCTTCTGCCATTTTTCGAATCCCTTTCACACAAACCTCCTCGGAAACTACTCCATCGTCGAATTTCTCAAGCTCTCTTTTCAAAACAGAAGCTTTCTTGTCAAAATTATGTCTGAACTTTCTAGCTTCAATGTCTTTAACCTTTGGAGACTTTAACTCATTCAGCTTCTCAATCAAATAGCTGATCTCATCTTCCAAAACCTTGCTCTCTTTCTTCCCTTCTGAGATCCTCTGTTTCCCCTGAATCCAATCACCAACAGCTTCATACTCAAAACACTCAGCATTCACAAACAAATCAAAAGGAAGAAGAAGAAGACGATTTTGACTTACAGAGAGAAGAGTAAGAACAGCAGATCTAAGCGTCTTCTCCATTCGTTTCTTCCTTCTCTCCATCTTCTTCAAAGCAATCTCCTTTTCTATCCTTAACAAATTACACTCTGATCTCAACATCTCCGCCTGAAACCTCCACTTCGCTTCCTCAACTTCATCAACCGACCCACCAATCTCTCTCCCGTCTGCAACTTTCCCTCTTCTCCTTCCTTCCTCCTCATCACCTCGATCGAACGATCTCTCTTGGTGAAACAGAACCTCCAGCTTCACTCTACGATCCTTCTGAGACGAAGAAGAAGAAGAAGAAGGTGTTGCTGTTGTCTTCCCCTTCGTGGAGTTTCGCCGAACAATGTGCCTACGTGGCAACTGAAGAATCCTCGGCGTTGGAAGGCCCACTTGTGGATACTGCCATTTCTTCATCACCGTCGCTGTCGCATCGTTTCTTCTCTCCATTTTTCTTTTTACCGCCGACTTTAACAAAAAAGCAGAGGAAGTCTCTGTTCTCTGTCTTTGTCTCTTCTGTCAGAAAAAGAAAGACATCATTTTTAGACTATACTAAGTGAAAACTCCGATCTTTAACTTTCTCTCTCTCTCTTTGCTCTGTCGTATTTTGAAAAAGAAAATCAAAACCCTTTTTTTTTGTTACCGTTTGAAAATAAGAATCACTCGAAAGCAGAGAAGAAAAGAGACAACCTTGGAGAATTCAAGTGCAACATCAAAAGATCCCCAATTTTTTCGTAATTTTAAATTATGTTTTTTCTCCATTGTGGTGGATTTATATATATAATGAATCCGGGTTTAACGATTTTCGGGTCTGGTTCTCGAGTAAAGCCTACGGCGAGAGAGAGATAAGGAGAGAGAGAGAGATGAAAGAAACCTCGTGAAGTGGAGCCATTTTCAAATAAAAGCTGTGTTTTGTTGGGTGTCAAAGTTCGTGATGAAACCGCTGCTTCCTCTTCTTTTCCATTTATTTACATTTCTACCACTACCAAGAACTTCATTGGATGATAATCATTCAAATCTGTTTTCCCCTTTTTACGATAGCCATTAATATACATAGTGACCAGTGAACAAGTGGGTGTTTTTTTGTTGTCTTTTTGTCAACGACTAGTGATTGTTTACTCCATTCATGTGTTTTTTCGTAGTCTTTTCAAATACTCATGTGTTACATACATTAGACGATTCAAAATCATTCAAACTCGATAGGAAAAAAAAAACATACTATATTATTTGGAAAGGTTATTGCAGGCCACACAAAACATTATACATTTGGACGCTCCACATAAGTATCTCTACGGTTCATTAATGGTGTCTGCAGTAACCTTCTTCTTTAGTTCATCTCCAAATGACACAAACGTCAAACTGCACATAAAAGACCCTTTCTATATACTTCTTTCGTTTTGATTGTCAATGGAAGAGATTTGGGTCTCGACGTTTGTTTATATCTTTGGTTACTACTTTTTTCCCCTTAAAATTAACATTTAAAAGTTTCCTATTGAAGAAAACCAACCAAATATGGACCCCAACTCTGTATGTTACATACTTTTCAAGCATTTTATAGGAGATTTCTACTTAGATTCAACGACCACAAGTTCCTCTGCAAAATAGATAGCACAAGGACACGTGGCAACAACCCATTTGCTTTAAATTCATGTTTTGGATAAGGAAATGGATCATAATCCCTCAAAAATCAATTCTTTTTCCCCACATCCCCAACTTTTTAAACACAATCATCACCAACTAACTCATCAACAAAAGCAGAGAGATCAAGAGATCACACGTGGGAATCAACTTACCATTTGCAATGGCATCAATGACCATGACATCTTCATTTCTCCCAGCCGTCTCCAAGCTTCCGGCAACAACAGACGAAGCCTCACGGTGATCAAAGCCTCCATGAGCGAGAACACCACCAGCTTGGAGTACAGTAAGCAAGAACAGAGCATAAAGATGAGGAGGGATCTGGTGTTCACGGCTGCAGCTGCAGCTGTGTGCTCTTTAGCCAAGGTGGCCATGGCGGACGAAGAGCCCAAGAAAGGGACAGAAGCAGCCAAGAAGAAGTATGCTCCTGTCTGTGTCACAATGCCTACGGCCAAGATATGCCATAACTGAGTTCGCTATGCTACCAACAAAACTTGCATATTTTCATGTCTATAATATGTCTCAGTTTGGTATGTAATGATCATATTAGATTAAATCTACAAAATCCGTTGTTAATATAGTTGAATCGTCCATTGATGTGATTGTAGACCGTAAAACCAAAATAACTTAAAATCAGCAAAGAGTTTCTACAGCTAAACTAGGAAACCTGCAACAAATCTTTACTCTTTCAACTACAGTTGAGCATGTAATATAATCCACAAAAGTTCAATTATTGAGGTAATATCAGACAATCCTGTGGTTTCACAATGATCTATAGTTTTCAGAGGCTGCCAGGTCTCCAGGAGATGACAAAACTAATGTACCTCTGCTTTTATTCTTCCTCTGTATATTGAACAACAGTAACAAATCTCAAGTTTTTTTCTTGATGCGTTCTGCTACTCTACTCCAAAGGGCCAGACGTTGTTCCCTCTTCTTCACCATCAAATTCTTGCTCAACGCCTTTAACCTGTGATTTGCACAAACACTTTGGTTAGGAAACAAGAGAAGAGACTACAAGATCAAGAATCACGATTTGTGGTTAACAGCTGAAGACATAACAGAAATGAGAGGTATTAGGAACTTAGGACCTCTCCTTGTTATCAGCTTACCTCAGATATATAATGCATAAGCATATTCTCAATTCCTGATTTCAAAGTAACAGATGAACTTGGACAACCGCTACAAGCTCCTTGCATTCTAAGCTTCACTATACCAGTTTCCCTGAACAAAACATATAGGTTCGATAAAGATATAAAAGAGAAGAAGCAGAATCTTCTTGACCATTTGCTCTATTACTCATAGAAAAACTTACGTATCAAATCCACAATACTCAATGTCCCCTCCATCATCTTGAACTGATGGTCTGATACGTGTCTCCAAGAGCTCCTTGATCATTGCTACAGTTTCAGAGTCGTCCTGAATCGTGAAATCCCCAATGAGGTAGAAACAATCAACACTTGGAGAGCATTGAAAACCATCAAACCACATAAAATCTGAGAGCAATGATAATATCAAGAATCAACCTCGTGAATGGCAGTATCCTTGGCAGCTGAAGCTTGTGAGTCGAGAAACAAAGGCTGTCCAGAAGAGTAAAAGTCCATAACAACTGCAAAGACTTCAGGCTTGAGGAAATCCCACGTTACATCATCTGACTTTGTCACAGTGACAAAATCTGACCCAAAGAAAACTCTAACCACACCTGCATCAAGAGAGAGTATCACAAAGTCACTAAAAACGAAAACACAGATCATATGTAAGTAGCAAAAAGGAGAAGGAGAGTACCATCAATGGCAAAAATGGCGTTGGCCAAAGGTGAGCTCATAGCAGAGCGAGAATTAGGGAAATCTGCACTTCCAACTTCCATGACTGGTTTACCAGGATTAAACATGAGAGAAGATGGGTTTGGTGTTGATTGTGTTTGCATAAACATTGTCCTCCTTTGCACTGTACCAAACACCAACAAGTTTTAGTTAATTTGAAGCCATAATTTTCAAAAGTTAGTTCATTTCAAGAGGTAACTTTGGATTTGCCAATAAACAAGCCTAAGTAAAAAACTCAAATTTCACTAGAGCTAAACAATCATCAAATAACGAATCGAATCACGAGTCATAGAGATGAAAATGAAATACATATTCGAAGATTAACGACCTAGAAATATTCATACCTCCAATGGAGATCCAATTCAAGGGAAAGGAAGAAGATTTCGGAGAGTTACGAGCAGAAATAGTCGTTCTGCCATCCAAGAAATTCGCTGGAAACTGCGTCGCCGCCGAGATAAACAGAGAGCGACGAGATATCAGAATAGAAGAAGGAGAAGAAAGTATCTCACAAGCTCTCTGTCGCGAAATAGAATTGAGAAGCCTCGTAATCCCTTTCATGATCTCCGTCGTCGTTGCCTAAGTTTGAAATTTCAAAGTTCGCGTTTCGTCGGAAAATCGCAAATCAGACGGCGAGAAAGAGAAGCCCGGTTACGAACGTGGAAATGGCGATCGGAGAAACCTCTCTGTGTGTTGAACGAGGCTTTGAATTGCCGTTACCGTCACCGTGAATTATTTGAACCGGCTTAAACCCGAACCAAAATTTCTGCAATTTCTTTAACAAATGGAATCGAAACCGAACCATTCCGGACTTGAACAAATTTGACAATTTCGTTTCATCACGTTCGGCTAGTTTCAAAAGAGCTGTTTAGTGAAAAAAAAGTTTGGATTTCAGTTTTATAAATAGCTTACAGTACAGAAATGAATTAAGTGAAGAATTTCATATTACATTATATGCTAAATCTAAACTAATGAAGTACAGAAACAAAACTGGCCTTAAAACTGATTCTTCGACCTCAACTTCAAGAAAAAAAACAAAATCTTCAGGCAAGATCAGCCGGCATCTCACGGATTCGAGTACCGTAATACCGCTCAATGTCTTTCAAAGTCTTCATGTCAGAACTTTTCACAAAGTTAATCGCAACACCCTCACGACCAAAACGACCAGCTCTTCCAATACGATGAATGTAGAGCTCCGGGTTGGTTGGTACATCATAATTGATCACATGAGAAACCTAAACACATAAACTTTGTTCTCTTAATGAATCTCATCTAAACCATTCTCGAGACACAGAGAAAAAGAGAGAAAGAGAGATCATACGGTTTGCACATCGATGCCTCGTGCCCATACATCAGAGGCGATTAAAACACGGGTTTTAAACGACCGGAACTGGTTCATGATTTCGTCTCTCTCCTTTTGACGCTTGTCTCCATGCATTGACGAGACTATGAAATTACTACTCTTCATCTTCTCAGTAAGCCAATCCACCTTATATTCAAAAAATACAGAATCAAAAGCTTTTAAGATTATAAAGACACAAGACCAAAAGCTTAAAGAATGCGAATTTTTAACTGTATTTTACCTTTTGTCTTGTGTTGCAGAAGATAATAGCTTGGTTAATAATAAGCCTCCCATAAAGATCACAAAGTGTATCAAACTTCCACTCTTCTTCCCCAACATCAACATAATATTGTTTAATTCCCTGAAAAATTAAAACTTTAATTTACGCTCTTCATGGCTAAACTAAGAGCTAAGCATTAAAAGACACTTACTTCAAGAGTCAACTCGTCACGCTTTACAAGTATCATCACAGGGTCTGTCATAAACTTCTTTGTCATCTCCAGAATCTCTTGAGGAAGTGTAGCAGAAATCAAGCAAACCTAAATCATAACAAAACTGTAATTTACATTTACAGTAAGAAACTACGATATACCAATTACTAACAGCTGAGATTGAATACCTGAATATCGTGTGGAAGAGATCTGTAAACGTCGTAGATCTGGTCTTTCAAACCTTTGCTAAGCATTTCATCTGATTCATCGAGAATCAAAAGTTTCACAGCTTTGGTTTGTAAGCTTCCTCTCTTTATCATATCGTAGACTCGACCAGGTGTCCCGGACACAGCGTGGACGCCACGCTCCAGCTTCTTGATGTCTTCTCCGATGCTTTTACCACCGATGCAAGCATGTGCCTGAATGTTGGTGTGTACTCCAATGGCTTGTATCGTCTTCTCTGTTTGTGTAGCCAGTTCTCTCGATGGAGACAAGACCAAGACTTGAATCCTTAAGACAAAACAAAAAAAACAAATACCAAACAACCTTAAAGTAAGTTTTCCTCAGCTAAACCACAAAGCAATATCACAAATTATTAAGTGTTCCTAATCATTAATCATAAGATTTTAATGAATCGTAGAGAAAGATCATAAAGCATTGTAATGCAAAGTGAATTAGTTAAATATTGCAGCGTTAAGTAAGTGTTCCTCATCTTAATCACAAAACCAGAGCATCAATCATATAACACTAATATAAAGTTACCATTTTTTCCTCATCTAAAGACCAGTAATCATGTAACTCTAATGAATTGACCATTTTAAAACAGAGATAAAAAAAATTCCCAATTGGAGTGAAACCCTAAATTGGAAATCCGATTTAAAGTTTGCATTTTTATTCAATCTCAGGGGAGAAAAGAGACGTACTTTCTGGAGGAAGTGTTGACGATTTGGCAGACGGAGATTGCAATCATGGAAGTTTTACCGGTACCGGACTGAGCCTGAGCGATAACGTCTCGTCCGTTGAGAATCGGCATCACAGCTCTCTGCTGAATCTCAGATGGTTTTTTGAAACCGTAGTCGTAGACGCCGCGAAGAACTTTATCATCCATCCCCATGTCATCGAAGCTCGTGATGGGTTTGATCCCTTTGGTCGTTTCGAAGACTAGATTCTCTTCATCCAAATCTCCTCCGCTTTTCCAAAATTCGCCTCCTTTCGCTGCCGCCATAATTCTCCACTCTGAATTTGATTTCTGGCAGAATCAAGACAAGTTTAGTGGTGGATTCTGCTTATTGCCAGCTTCGGAGATTTGCCGGATTGCGACGAAGAGGAAATTGTCGGGAGAGAAAAGAAAAAGGGTTTAGGGTTTATTGAGAAATAATAACCGTAACCGAAAAATCTGACCGAACCGGACCAAAATGTTTAAACCAGTAAAAATCAGAAGACTTTGGTTGATTAATTAAAGAAAGCGTAACCATAAACCCATGCATTGGTTGCATTGTTGCAACTTGCAAGAGCAAGACCTTCGTTAAAGTTATCTCAAGCTTTTGTATTCCATTCATATTTATATGTTGTAGAATTTTTGTCTAAACAAAGCTTAATTCAGATGTTAAAACAAACAAAAAAAGGGACATAACACATTCATTTTTTAAAAATTTTCTTACACACATGAAACGAGGACTCGATTGCAAAAACAAAACGACACAAATACAAAAACGGACAAGACTAAACGGAAAAACCAAGAACTTGGTCTTAAATTTAAGTAGTATTATTCAAGAGTAAAAGAGTCTTCAAGCTATGAAACTTGAGATTTTTTATGCGGTAGAAGAAGGCACCACGAGCTCAACAACAATGGTATCATCAACTCACCAACTTTTTCCTTGTCAAACTCCTTGTGAGTCTCCATTTCTCCAAGATCCTTAAAATACGCAACCGATGCAATTGAGAAACCATTTGCTCTAACCGGACTGAAATTTTCTCCCACAGTGATCTGATCAGTTCCTGGAGATGTCTCTTTAATCACTTCCATTATCTCCGTTTTCGCCTCATCGGAAACGTTCTCTTTCACCTTGAGTAACGTGAGTTTGGCAGCCGAACCGGGAGGTGGTGCTAGGGTGTTTGGGACTTGATCGGCGATATAATCAACGACCAGAATGTCTTCCCAGATCGGTAAATAATTATGGAGGACGCGAACGTGTTGAGGATGTGCAAGGTACGCGCTGAGATCTTCCTTGGATATGTAACGGCTATGAACGACGTGAGTGAAGGCGGAGTTGGATCTGAGACGGTGGATAGGACCGGCGGTGAGGTAAAGAACCTCGTCGAAGGTGGCTAGGGCTTTGAGAGCTGGAAGACATGGCAGCTTTCTGATGAGAATGAGAGACGCAGATTCAAAACGTTAAGACCATCTCCATTACTCCATTTAGTGATATCCTCATATGGATAGCACTACACTTTTTATTAGTAAACTTGTATTTGATTATGTTTTGCTAAATGTTTTAAATACCCTCCTAAATATTTTATTATAAACAAAATACATTTAATAAAAACTAATTGATTGAATAAGAGAGAGTTGGTGAAATCACATTTAGCCCAATGATTTGATCAAAGATTCATTAATACTTTTACACCAAAATATTTGTGATTCAAATCCCACAAAATATGATTTATTGTTATTTATGAAGATTATTGAAGACATATTTATAGCAGGCTCGAGATTGTTGGTTGTGGCACCTCAAAAGACGGAACGTTGCAGAATCTCAATCGTAACATTTCTACTCATCTCTCATATATTAAAAAAGAAAACGATATAAAAAATACATTTATATTATGTGATATTAACAAAAATGACATGCTGATATGTCATTTACTTGTAAATTTTAATTAAAACAAAAACTATTACATTTTATGTCATTAAATTAATTTGATTATAAAATAGGTTATGTGAATATTTATACATAATTCGTAAAATTATCATTCTTTATTCTTTATATTTCTAACAAATATAACATATTAATTGTTTTTCTTAAATACTATATTTTCTTTCATTTTCCACATACTGTCTATAACACGCATACGGGTGCGATCTTCCTTGCATGAATCTACGAATAGCTATTACTCCATCCGTTTTAAATTAGTTGTCATTATGATAAATGTATATGCAATTATTTGGATGTATCTGGATATGTTTTGAGTTTAATATGTCCAAAAAATTGCAGATACATTTTTCTAAAATGACAACTAATTTAAAATGGAGGGAGTATTCTCTTTTTATTATCCTTACATGTACGTACGTATGGTATGGTTTACACCTTAACTACTTATGATAAAAACAAAATTATCATAGAAGAACTTCGTTAAGTATGGTTTCAAATGAGGTCCAGTTAAAATATATATTATTTCATGTTTAAAACATGCTCTTTTCTAAGTTATTGCGAAAACAAAAGAATTTTAAAATTCAAGTATTTTACGAATTTTGTATCAAGAAAATCTTATTTGGTTTGTTACTAAGGTTTTTTTGCTTCAAAATAGTAACCAAAAGTTTTCACTTCCGTAATGATCAATAAAAAGTCTCATTTCCACAACATCCATAGAAAATGCATGGTTTGTCATAGTTATAGTACAACAGAAAGACTACTTAATTAGCTAGGATTTAATCAAACTTATGTCAAATCATATGTTAAAACCCCCCAAAATGTTATAACTATAAATAGTAGCTCAATAATAGAGAATATAGTTATATGTAAACTTTCGAATAAAATTCAAAATTTTCCATTTATGTTGTAGTTTTGTAGATTTTAAAGTGACCCTTTAGGCTTTAAGTAATGGACATCACATTCAGTATTTTTTTAATTTTTCTTACAACCATCACGTTCACTTTATGTATATACATAGAGAAGTACACACAGGAAACGAGAACTCGATAGCAAAAACAAAACGACACAAATACCGAAACGGACAAGCTAGAAGGAAAACCAAGAACTTGTCTCAAACTTCAGAGTTTGAAGTTTTATTTCAAGAGTAACATAGTCTTCAAGAAAATGAAATTTGAGGTTTTTTAAACGGAAGAAGAAGGCACTACGAGCTCAACAACAATGGTATCATCAAGATACTCACCAACCTTTTCCTTGTTAAACTCCTTGTGCGTCTCCATTTCTCCAAGATCCCTAAAGTACGCAACCGATGCAGTTGAGAAACCATTTCCTCTAACCGTATTGAAGTTTTCTCCCACAGTGATCTGATCAATTCCTGGAGACTTCTCCTTAACCACTTCCATAATCTTCATTTTAGCCTCATCGGAAACGTTTTCTTTCACCTTGAGTAACGTGAGTTTAGCAGCCGAACCGGGAGGCGGTGCTATGGTGTTTGGGACTTGATCGGCGATGTAATCAACGGCCAGGATGACTTCCCAAATCGGTAAGAAATCATGGACGACGCGAACGCGATCGGGATGTGCAACGTACGCGTTGAGATCTTCCTTGGATTTGTAACGGCTATGAACGACGTGAGTGAAGGCGGAGTTGGATCTGAGACGGTGGATAGGACCGGCGGTGAGGTAAAGAACCTCGTCGAGTGTGGCTAGTCCTTTGAGACCGTTGACCATGGCGTCGATCTTGCCGGAGTCAACATCATCCTTGACCTTGAAAAGAACGATGTGCTCGATGATCTGATTCTGAGAGCTCGAAGGCATGGCAACGTTCTGAGGAGAGACGCAGATTAAACGTTAGAGATACGATTGAGATATGTGACCCAAAACAAAATAAATAAGAACAATATTTGTTTACACACCCAAAGCGAAGCTTCTTGACAAGTGATGTTAATGTCAGTGTGTAATATGATAATGAACGTAAACGTAAGAGAATATATATACACAAATATAACTTGCGGGGACCCTTAGGTTAATTGACCCTTTCATATATAAATAGATTAAGCCCGATATTATATAACACAGCCCAATAATTTATGGAAAAATATTTATTTGTTTGTCGTTTTAAAAAGCCATCTGTGAGAAGTTGGAATTTATTTGTCTGATCGTTGATGTTGAAGATTTGTGTTGTTGTTCCTGCATGGAATCCTCAGTTTCTCCGCGTGCGACAACGTGACTGACGACGACGGGCCCACGGATTCCTTGGCCTTTTTTTTTATTTTTTTTATAAGTTAGAGAAAAAAATAGAATAATTGAAATGGGCCTGAAAGGCCTAATGTATGTATCTTACGGGAGCCCATCATATGTGCAAGATTTTTTAGGAGGGGTATTGGCATTTAGTATTTCGATGGAATTTAAAGGAATTGACGATTCCATTCAATTCTTGTGTTATTCGAGTATATGTTTTTTCAATTCTTTTAAATTCCGGTGTTATTCAGTGAAGAATTTGTAGTCATTCTATTCAATTTCTTTAAATTCCGATGTTATTCAACGTATCAGTTTTTCAATTCCATTAAATTCCGGTGTTATTCGATATCAAGATGTATTTGGTGGTATTGTCATTTGGAAGGAATTTAATAGAATTTGAAGAAAATTTTGTAAATGCTCAATTCTTCCAGTTTTTGCAGTCATTTCAATAGAATTGATTTTAATTCCCCATAAATACTTTAAAATACTTTAAAATTCATTACTTTTTAATTCTTTTCAATTCCTTAGTTTAATCAGCTTTGACATAAACATACGATAAGATAATATGCTTGTTTTGTTTATCTTTGCTTATCTTAGCTAGTAGCCAAGTACTGTATTAAATATACTTAGTGGGGGTATTGGTGAGTAGATTACTTTATCTGATACTTTAATGGTATTTTTAATTTAATTACAATTATTTTTGGGACGATGTTAATAAAAAAAAGTAAAGACGTACTCCTGTATTAATAAATACAAGGGACAAAAAGAGAAAACCAAAAGAAATTGATGGACTCAAATCAAATCCTCATTCCAAGGTGATTTGTTGCTTTACCTAATTGGGTTTTTGTTTGTACGTGTCTGATAACATGCACACGGGCGAGATCTTCCTTGCACGAATATACGAATACTTTTTATTATCCTTACCTAGTTACCTGTACGTACGTATAAATAAGAGAACTATTTTTTAGTGTCACTTTTTTTTAATGTTAGTATCATTTTTTAAATGATGCAAGAATTATAGCATCATTTGTAAAAATGACACTAAATTCAATGACACTAAGTTTTTTTTTGCATCACTTTTATAAATGACATGAAAAATACATCATTTAGTTATAAGTGATAAAAAAATGAGAGTAAAATCATTTGTAAAAGTGATGCTAAAATGAGAGTAAGGTCATTTGTAAAAATGATGCAAAAAAATGAGATAAGGTCATTCGTACAAGTGATACTAAAATAAGATTAAGGTCATTTGTAAAAATGATGCAAAAAATGAGATTAAAATTAAAAAATATATATATTTATGCTAAAAATGATGTCATAGACGAAAATTTCTTTAATTACATATTGTCAATGAAAAACTAAATAACAAATATTGGAATGTATTCTTCTTCTCTATATTTCGTAGTGTATATGTGTCTTCTTCTTCTATGTTCCATATCTTCCTTATCATATATTTATCGTATATCGTATATTTATCGTATGATATGGTTTACACCTTCACTACTTATAATACAACAAAATTATCATAACCAATGGAAGAACTTCGTTAACTATGTATGGTTCCAAATGAGTCCAGTTAAAATATGTATCCTTTCATGGTTAAAAGTTAAAACATGCTCTTTTCTAAGTTATTGTGAAAACAAGATAATTTTAAAATTCAAGTATTTTATGAATTTTGTATTTAGAAAATCTTCTTTGGCTTGTTGCTAAGGTTTTTTTCTTCTAAATGGTAACAAACAGTTTTTACTTCCGTAAGGATCAATAAAAAGTCTGTAAACTTTCGAATAATAGAGAATTTCTTTGTCAGTAAACTTTCGAATAAAATTCAAAATTCTCTACCTATGTTGTAGTCTAGTAGATTCTAAAGTGACCCTTTAGGCTTGAAGTGACGTAAAAACGAATAGATAATGCACGGATAGGTGTAAGTTTATAATTTCAATCATGAGATGCCTACGTCCTCATGTTATGATTTATCCCACATTACTATTAATTGAAGTCTAGCAATAAATCGAAACTATTTAAATGATTGAAAATTATTTTACGTAAATAATATCGACACTATCTATCATAGCTGATACGTCGTCTTCTTACGAATCTTACCTACTCTATATATAGATATAGTTTTATACATTCGTTATAACTTGTAATTATTAACTTTGTTCTCAAAAAGGAAGTGGGAGGGGAAAAAAGGAGAAAATGATGAAAAAAGCCGCACGAGTCCTTTCATTGGATTCCCTTCGGAGATGTTATTTTCTGATCCGACACTTTGGCCATCTCTTAAACATTTCGATCTACTATCTCTCTTTTTTTACTAACTATAAAGCCAATTTTTATAATTACAGCACACGTTAATAAGGTAATTTTGTTAATTTCCAAATAAATTTGGACAGTACTATATATACATATATCAACGTTTATGAACTTTAAATCCAACGTTGGAACAGTTGAATCTATCCGAAACTTTTGTAATGCATATTATTCTGCATCCACTATCTTTTCCCTGTATAAACTTTTTTTTTTCTATGGAACTTTAACATATTTTTGAACTCGGAACAAAAGTTTTGAATTTCAGTTCATTACTGATAAAAATGGTGTCATTTCATGACTTTTTCATGTACTCGATAAAAAGAAAATAGGTTTCAGAAATACTTTTAAGTTTTAATGGAATTTGATTTTGATGAGATTACGAATAAATCAACTAGGAAAACCAATAAAGCGTACTAAGTATGTAAGAACAATCAATCCAACTTGTAATTAACTCAAACCAAAATACAAAACAAAAGAAATCGCAAAAGCTAACAAGCCAGAAATGTTAGGAAGCATCATTCAATTACAAAAAAAAAAACCTAAAACAAAATTACAAACACTTAACTAAAAAGGCGATAGGGTATTTGATTAATCATACCGTACCACAAATTCAAACCCGCCTAATTCAAAATTGTCCAAAATCTAAAAAAGAACCAAAGAGAGGAAAAAAAAGCAAGCTAAGAAAAAAGAAGTAGTAGAAGAAGAAGATGCAAAACCTCACACTACACTCTCTATATTATACTTTCAATATTATTGTATTTGGATCAACCTAGAAACTTGAGATATTGATCACACCATGGTAATAACCACAAAACCCTAATTATAAACTTAACTTATTTAGTGATTTGCTGACCATGATTATGACCAAGTGCGAAAACGAAGAAGAGCTCTACGTCTGGAGGAGCAAAGAAAGCGATTTGCCTCCTCCTCAAAGCAAAGTTTTGCGCCACCCTTTGCTTCTTCGGTGCAGGCGGACACGTCAGCATATCCGGTATCCGTGACTTCTTCGAATTCGGAGTACAACATCCGCTAGCTGGAATCGACGATGTTGACGTGGCGGTTGATGAGGGTGAAGTAGGTGATGCTGTCGTTGAAGTGACGTCACTGTTGATACTACACGGAGGAGATGGATTCTTGAAGTTGCTTCTTGTTCTTCTTCCTTTAGCTGTTCTTCTCGTTGGTTTCTTTCCTTTTGATGCCATTTTTAGACCAAATTAAGAGAGGAGAGAAGAGATAGAGAGGGAGCAAGAGAGAAAATAAAGTGTGTGAATATATATATATATATATGAGGGGTATCTAAATGTTTAAAACTTAGTGGACAATTTACTTTAAAGCTAATAAATTTTGACTGGAAAAAGTTTCTATCAGAGGAGAAGAAAAAAAGCCAAGAAAGAAAAAGGTAAGAAAAAAAGAGAGAGATTGCTTAGTATTTGGAAACTAAAGAAAAAAGAGTTTCTTTTAGGTAGAGGATCATGCATAGTGTGAAATGGGTACGCTTTATTTTACTTAAATATTCACAAAAAGAAACTATGTAGTAGGATTATCTCGTCATCGTGTAATTTTGCACTGATTCATCCATTTTTTATTATAACTTTATTTGTATGAGTAAATAAGAATATCTCGCTTCATAATACTTCAATATTGATCGTGAACAAAAAATCAATTTCTAGATGTGAACGATAGTGTGTTTGTTGAGAAATTCAAATACCTAATCGTGATGTTTAAAAATAAAGGTATTATTGTTTGGTTGTCACATAACAGGGCAAAATAATTAAATAATTAGAATCAAGGTGAATATATCGAAGAAGAAAACCCTTTTCCCGAAAAAGAGATATCATAGTACCGAAGAAATAATTTAATTCCGTTGTTGTTTCAAATGCATCTTTAAGTTCAAGGCAAAGGACAACACCATAATATTCTTTCTTTATTTGCTATAATTTTTTTTTTGTAGCTTGTAAGTTATATACAAGGTACACAAATCATTCAAAACTCAAAAGGTTCCCTATTCAAAAGCATGGCATGTGAAAACGCTATTAATTCAATGTACACAAATAAGTTTTGTAAGTTTATATCGTGTATTTCATACTCATATATAGACATGATGTCACATCACATGCATTATTAATTGCAGTCATTTATACCCACAAGTTAAAAGATTTATAGATAAATGTAACAACAGTATTTAACTATACAAAAACAAGAAAGGAAAAATACATAAAGGCCAAGGGAGAGAGACGTCCCGAGACAAGAGTCTCACATTTGATCGATGATTAAGATATTTTGTCACCAAAACACTATTTCTTGGAGGTATTAGGTAGGTGGTATATATAACTGTTACATACTAGTATATCATTATCTATTTAGCCGTAAGATTTGTTTTCTTAAGAAGAAAAAAGGAAAGATAAAGAACTGCAGAACAGAGACAGAATAAAAAAATATCACAAATCAAACTTCGATGTAATATACAATTTCACGTGGGATGGCATTTGAATTCAATGTATAGACATGGAGTTTCTACACTCCAACTAACACTAATCTCTTAAATTATTATAACCAACTAACCCTTTTTGGGTTTAGTTGAGATGCTCTCAGAAATTTTGTATTCGTGAGAAATAATTATTGTAGAAAAAAGCCTAAATTTCTAAAAAGACGTACACAGTAGTCGAGGCTGGATCTGATCATGGGATCCATAACATAGGATTCACTGTGCACAAACGGCGAGTTAGATTCTCAAAGGCCATATTTTACGTAAAGACAGACATGTCTCACAGATAGTCTCTCTTCTTTCTTCAATAAATTAAGTTTCAGGCTCTGATCGGTGATGTAGTATTGTTTTAGTCCAGTGTGGACCATGTTTTGTGTAACTATTCAATAGTGCCGTAAATAGATAGTGTTACAATGGATGATACGATTGTGTTTTATTGTAATGTTTTTATTTTTATTTTGGGCTAATGTTAAAGGAGGGACATTACAATAGTTTAATGGTATTGTCGATACAAAACAATATTAATACAAAACTCGGATGTTTTTTTTTTACATGCAATTGAAGTTCTTGAAGGCAAAAATAAAAAATGGGAAAAAAAAATACAAAAATGTGGTGAATCTAATCTAACTGTGGCACAAGTAATAATAGCACAACTCTTTCTCTGTTTCTCACTGCTTCCACCTGCACACATAATAATCAAACACAACTGAATTGTCACATGATCTCTGCTAAAATTATGCTTTGAAAATGCTCTGGTCAAATGGTCGGTTTAGGCGGTCCCAGTTTCAGTTATGGCCATTTCAGGTAAGCAGAAACGAGAAGAACAAGCTCAAGAAAAGTAATGTACCTGTTGAATCATAGGCGTGTCTGGAACTGGAAAGAGACAATCAATGATCATGACCGTAAACTCAAGGCTCTGTCTCTCTCTCTCTCTTTTGCTAAATCACTACTGATATGTTCAATGTATAATCTGTGGGATTGGTAAAAAAGCAATATCTCTGTGTTTGCTAATTATCACCAAAGGACATTGACTGGCCTAATACAGTTCTGATGCGAATCTGCAAAGCAAAGAACATAGCTGAGTCAATCATAAAGAACAGAGTAAACAAGGAAGATTTCAAAAGGGCAAAAAGTTAACTCCTTTACGACCTTAACATCGAGGCAAGCGTCGTTGACCATGTTCTTTAACTGTGGAATAATACCCGCACTCCGCAATTTCACATGCCGATCAGGTGCACCAGGACTTGAAGGACTAATGAGGTTTATGATTGTCCATACTGTCGCTGACCGCAACTGGCTCTCTTCGCTCTGCAGAAACTTGAGCATGAAATTCTCTGATCCAGTTTGAGGAAACAGTTGCTGCATAACCGCTTCTTTATGTAACTCTGTACCACTCGCTACATTTGAGAGCACATACATTCCCTGCAAGAGAGAAAACATTTATATCAGCAAATTTTCTAATTTATTGGTGTGGTAAAACATTTCTTCATGTTTCTTACCTGTATTGCCATTTGAGCTTGTGGAGATTTCCTCAGTTGCCTCCCAACAGTTTCTAAGATAAGACCATCTTCATCAAATACAAACTCGATGGATTTGATGCATCCATCAACAAGATTACGAAGGAGGGCCAAAGCTTGCTCTTGTACCGGTGGCTCAGGATCTGAGGGAAATGAGTTTCTTTCTTGTTATTTGACATTTTGCTTAGATGGAATATTCATATGATTTTGTGGTTTTAAGGACTCTTTACCACTAATAAGGCTAGCCAATCCTTGAGCCTTGACGTCTGAATAATAGAGCTCTTTACGTTTATTGTCTGCAAGGAACATGAGGTTCCTTAGAGCTCGTAAAGCGCTACACCGAGCGTTTGCATCCATTGATTTTGACAGCTCAATAAGCTGTTTTATCCCTCCATACTCTATGAATGGTGACTTGGCTGATGAAAAATCCAATACCATATTACTCAGAGCACCAAGAACTGCAACCTGGTCAACGATATATAAGGTAAATATACATTCAAATCGGAAACTAAGCCAAAGAAATGCTTCATCTTATGTGACATGATGGTACCTGGACAGAGGAAGATGGATCATGCAATAACTGAACCAAAGGAAGCATAACATTCTCTTGAGAGAAACGTCCTGCACTCAAATTCTAAACGACATGTCTCAGGGGTTTTACCACATTCATAAAAAGCAACTGTAACTAAATCCTAATAGCATCCGGAAATGTATACTGTTCACAAACCTTGACTGATCGAGAAGCGTTTCTAAAGCATATGCACGCCGCAGTTCTTACATCAGCGTTTTTGTGCCTTAGCGCAGCAATCAGCAAGTCTAACACCTAGTTGAAGGAAAGAAAGACAAACAAACTAAGCATAAATACTAAACTAAACTAACCAAATATCAAATCAGATATTAGCAATGTGGAAACACACCTGCAATGACAGGAAGCTACACCTGCAATCTTCCAGCTTTGAGCACAATTCAGCTAGAGACAAAAACAAACCCTGAAGACGTTTAGGATGGAGCTCACTATCTGTCTTCAAGATGTCAACAATATTCTTGACTGCATCGGCATCGTAAGCTAACTTCTGTAAATCCTCTTTATCCGCAATCAGACATGATAAACCTAACGCAGCATCATCTCCAGATTGACCAGGCTCGTTGAGAAGCTCAAGCAGAGTAGTTATCAAACTTGATTTTGTTCCCATGTTCACGAAATAAGACGGAGAAGTGTTGTATATGACAACTAAGCAGAGACAAGAAAGCAGCCTCGTCCTCGGATACCTATCCTTTGTCAACTCAGTTACACTACTCAGATATCTCCCGGCCTCAAGTCCAGCAAAATGCGAAACAGCTTCAGGATTGTTCTTCAGAACAGTGGCTATAGATTCAAGACAAGCTTCTCTCTGGCTTAGAGAACCATCAAGAAGGATCACAAGCTTCTCCAAGACGCCAGCGTCGCAGAGCAGCCGTTGCTCTACACTTGTTCCACAAGCATGAGCTATAATGCTCGCACCAAGACCACTAACGTTCTCATTCTCGCTATTCAACAAGGAGAAGAGAAACTCCATGTTCTTCTCTCGGAGGAAGTCATACTTTGGAGCTAGATTAGATTGAAATATCATTCTAAGCGAACGAGCTCCTGCATCTACTACCTAAACCACAAATTACAAAAAGAAGAAGAAAGAGGATCAAACAAACATTCCAAGGCCAATGCTTTAATTCCTCAGATACAGACAATTTCAAAGGTGGAAACTTTTTGATAAAAGCTAGAAAGATCGAAGAGTAAATCTCAATCGTTTAAGCTTCATGTGAGAGACCCACAAGTGATTTCTAATGTCATTTCGAATCTGGATAACCATTTGGGGGAAAAGAATTAGACTTTTTTTCAAAAAGTCAATAAATTTTCAAAATTCACCTTTTCGTCAGGATTAGTGAGAAGACGGAGAAGATGAGGGAAGACTCCGGCGTCGAGAACAGCTTGAACTCCGGCTTCAAACCCACAAGCGAAACTCCCGAGCGCCGCCGCAGATTGGACGAGGATGTTGGTGCATTCATCGGAATCGTCGGCATCAGCGAGAGCGGAAGCTATGGCGGGAACAGCTCCGAGTTTGAGGAAAGAGAGTTTTTTGGTACGATTTCCGATAATCTGGTTTTTGACCTCGCGAAGGGCCTTTAGCTTGACTTCAGGGTCAGAGGAAGCGAGACGAGAGAA